TTAGCCCTTTGATATCCTGTAAACATCACGTATGATGCTTGTCTGAAATGATTTACCAAAAACGGCCTAAAACTTGAATTCTGGTTAGGTATTTTACAATTATGACAAACAAGTCACTGATAGTGTCCACATTGCACAAGTACGATCTACATTTTGAATTATTATACCATGAGAAAAAGTTGATGAACTCTGGACAGAAGTGAATGTATGTGTGTGAGAGTCGTCTCTCACTAAAATACTACAACAATCTTGACAATCAGTAGTGGCCAGAACTGTAAAGGGAATCCCGAGAAAATACATTGCACTGATTAAGGCACTCTACTCGAACTAATGCCATCATCCAGGTGAGGGCTTAGGCGAGTTGTCACATGAAGTGGTGACGACTAGTGGTGTCCGTCAGGGATGCCCATTATCCCCATTTCTATTCAATTTCACCATAGATGTACTAATGGAATGGATTTAACCCTAACTCACTTCAGCGACTCAGGGATTGACTTGCTACCAATGGCTGGAAACAATTGGTGATATTGATCAAAATCGTTATCACTGATGGTGCAGATGCATCCACTCCTTGTGACTTATGATTTCCAATGAAACTATATTGTTCTTCGTTATTACTATTCCTTTGTCTCACACTTCTGTTTACTGTCTCTATAATGCATTTCTTGTACTTTCTTGTGTTGGTTTGTTTGCTAAAAGGAGTGGAGTGTGACGATTTGAACTGGTGCACATCGGTGGAAAGTTCTATGTCAAAAACAGACAAACAGACAGTGGCCAGAACTATCTCAACGTAGTCTTGCAAAAGCTAGAAGATGAAATAACATGAAGTAGTGTCGAAACATGATGGTCGCTACTTTCTTAACTAATCTATAAACCACTATCTTTCCTACCTAAGTTGAAATCAAGTATCAAAGGAGGGATGAGTAATTCATCACACGATAACAAAGTTTCTATTAACAAGTAGCTTCACAGTAATCTCTGTACTTTTAGAGAAAATAGAAATAGTACATACATACAAATATGCTGCATGCGCACTACTTATAACCAGTGAACTGCACCACAGCATTCAGTCAACAAAAATAAATATAACTATGGTAACTGCAGTGACCTGATCAATAATTGGGTGTTGTAGTTTAGCTGGTACATCACTGAGCCCGTAAGTCGCCTCTTTCGGTAACCTAGATGTTCATTTCGCCTTCAAAATTCAACTATTTTTATAAACACAATATTGGCTACGGCAGATTATAGCTTATCACATAAGTATAAATTTATAATCACATACACATATTGAATAGTCGATTTATCCTGCCTAATACACTTGGACAGAAACGACTACAAAAGTCTGTCAGAGATTAGTTAGTTAGTTGGTCAATCTTGATACCTGACGGCTTGGCTTAGATTTTTGTTATTCAAGTTAACGCAGAATTATGTTTATCTCACTTCAAATCTTTTATACAAAAAATAGGAAAGCTTTCCTTACAAAAAAATAGTAATAATAATAACAATATAAAACTGTTGGCGAGTTATTCATCCTATTTTGTGTTTGATGGGACTGTCAGTCACTGGAGTACAGTCATTCTACAGGTTCGCACTCGTGATTACTACCACAGTCTACACATATATATGTAGTGCATCTTCACTTCTACAAATTCTGCTAAACAAACAGATAGATCAGTGTGTAATGCCTGGTACACACAAAATCATTACACTTCAAGTCTCCCCTCTTTGTAACAAAGGCATATAAATAAGAAGTAAATAGAGATAGAAGGCTATCACGCGTTAAGCGAAAAGCATTATGAACACAAAGGCAGAAAACAAATAAAAGTCAATAACACTATTCAGACTGACTGACTGATTGACTGGTTTCAACATAGAGCTTTGCACAGATGCGCAGTAGTTCAACTTGAGACTCTCCATGTAGCACACAGAGCAAGAGAAGACAGACTCAAAAGTGAGATAATAAACAGAACTGTGAGCGAATATACCAATGATATTGTGATCACTTTTAGACCATTTCACGTAGAACATTCAATAACTGATTACCAGAATCTTAAACAATCTCAACCAAGCAATCTACATCCCTCTAGACGACATAGAAGAATATTGAGACTCAAATCGGTTGCCTACGTTTGCACCCATCTAGAGCCATTTCAGCTAAACACGAGCAACACATGTTCAAGCTACCCCAATTAGTGAAGATTCGCATTTATCCTTTTTCCCGTACTACACATATAACTTTAGATTTGTTCATCTTACAACTACGACACCATATGTGACCAGTACTACAAAGACATTTATGATCATATTGTTCTGTCTTGACAGTGATGTCTTGAAGCCGTAGCAAAGAAAAAAGTGAACTGCTAAATACTAAATTTGTTTTTTGGTTGATAATCTTATATCTCAGGCATAAATATAACTTAAATAAGTGAATGCTAAACAATCCTTTTGTACGCATGTTTGTCTTCACCAACCAGTTCATCAACAAATTCGAACAATTTGTGGTGAGAGCTAGCTGCAAGCCAAAAATTGTAGACAGTAATTTAAGTCAATGTTACGTCCCGAATCACAGTCATGAACAAAGCAATAACAAAGCTTAACCTTGAGGAACTCACCAACCCATCACAGCAGACTTAACGTGTCCAAATACGATTCGCAGATATATGGCTTAACCTTCTGAGAAATAGTCACAAGCAGTACAGAATAATCTTCAGCAAGAAAGCCAATCAGAAGACTCTGCTTCTCTGCTGAAAATAATGTACATAAAAATCTACATAGACATCTCTTGGTTTTCTCAACAAACGACCTGTTGCCTGGCCCTTGTCTTTTGTCGTTACGAATTGACACTAAACCACAAATCGCTAGCATAAGTGAATACTAACAGTCGAGATAGTATATATCTCACTGTAAAAACATGTTTTGTTACCAAACCGTTATTTGTTGTGTCAGTCAGGCTAAAAAACAGTTGTAAACACTCAGCATTTGAACTCAACCCCATGACTGACTGAATTTCGACATAGAAATTTGCACAGAAGAGTACATTAGTTCGACTTTAGACACTCCATGTAGCACACAGAGATAGAGAAAAGAGAAAAATTCAGGGTAAATATGATAAGTAGAAATGTGAGAGAGAAAGAAGAATAACGTTTTTTAAAAAGAAAACACGAGGATTTAAAAGTGTCTGGAAGATTATAGCAAAGAGCCGTATCACCAATAGTCTCAACCACTGGTTCTTAGTATCTCAAGGACACCAACGAAGTACATAACTAGCTCAAACCAATTGTCAAAGACATCATTGACTGATGATAGGTTTTGGTTTGACGGCCCAAACTCTCTACTTAACACTAATCCAGTGTTAGCTGACATTCCTCATCGAGGAAAGCGGTTGCTCCTCCGCATGCGCGCAACATGTATTCCAGGTATCTCAATCAGTACTGCTTCACAGCCTCATTGATTGACTTGCTCTCCTTAACTTACACACTTTACACCTCACCTAGATATCGCTCATCATATCATGCGACTTAGTACAAACATCTGTCGTCCAAGACAGGAAGTATTCCACTTTCAATGGACATGTCGCCACTGCCAACTTCCTATACACTTTTCCACTTGAATTAATTCAACAAAAGTATATTCTGAATACAATTCATCTAGAAATGTTTTACTTGAATTACAAACATTCAAAAGAAATAACAATCACCATAGTAAAACGGAACATGATGACTAATAGAAGTCTTCAGTGTTTTGTATCCACACAAACACACACACACACACACAAATAAATCATTTATGAACAAATCTTAACCCTGACAGAATGGACCAAGACGATAACAAAATCACAGCATACAAAATTTATAAACCACAGACAAATTCATGAATATATATTCATTCTGTCCAGTTTTTTTTATCACCTCTCAGTTTTATCTATTTGTCTGTTTGTCCATAGACAGAAATACTAAAAATAAACACAAATCTTATGTTATTGTGTGTCAATCGAAACTTTGCAGGAGAACGCTGAGCAAAGTATATAGAGTATAGTAATACCCAAAGTAATAATAATAACAATAATAGCTACTAACACCTTGACAAAAGAAATTCAAGTGTTAACGAGTTAGAATGTATCTTTTGCACAGCATGAAATAAATTAAGGCGAGAAAGCGGCAGGAGACAAGAACTATCTAACTCACTCACTAACTGAGACTGTACAGTTCAAGTTGAAGTACACATTTATTTATCTAGGAAGTTAGTTGAAGAGATGCTCAAGGTCACCAAATGATACTCTCTCTCTCTCAGTGGAATATTTTCATTTTCAAGTAGTGATCACTTCACAGTACAACTTCTAATCAACTGAAGACTGGAGACTTGACACGAATATTCTTACTGTTACTGTCTGCTGAATATTTCTATTGTCATCAGTTCAACTAAGCTCAACCCAGTGTTACTCAACAACTACACCTACAATTCCATGCAGATGGTAATGAACCAAACCTATTGTGTGAAGGCTGATTATGCTGCCTGAGAGTGTGCAAACTTCGGTGCGTGGAGCAAGGGTTCGAAGCTGTGGCTCACTGGTTGGAAATCAAAAGCCTAGATCTATCAGCCGTGCAATAAACATAATGACCGATGTGATAATGGTATTTCTTCGACATTTACGAATTATTCCGCACACTAAAGAGAAAATATGTTAGATACTGTATAAAGCCTGTTTGTTATTTTGAAAATAGATCTCTACTTAGAAGTTAATTGGTGGATGATGGTGATTAGCAGTGAAATCCAGGTGACGAGTCCCAAATGGGACGAAATGCGTTTTGTCCTGGACAGACATCGTCGAAGCATCTACGCAAGAAGCCGACATGTCAACCTGAGACCGAGCACTTCAGTCCAATCAGTCGACGGGAATATCTAAAATTGAATTAAATAAATCTCTACTCATCAAAATCTTTGAATATATGTGTTATAAATTTAATAAATACATATATTAATTTATCAACAGGACAACTCACATTTCCATCACCACGTCCAACTGTGAAAATGACACTGATGATAACTAAATGTGAGAATTCTGCTTGAATCCATTCCCGTAGGCCATCTTCAACATGTGTATTTGGACACCAGGCATAACCACTTGTATGCTCATTACTTCCATATACCTCCGTTAATCTGTGTAAAAGAGAAACAATGATAACAAGGAAGAATTATTAAGCGGTAAATTAATTTACTCAATAATACTTTTCGACAAAAACTTCTGGCCATAACTAATCCTAACAGAGGCAAAAGATAAGATCAGAAGAGTGGTGGACAATCATCTTGTATGATTCTAACATTTCTTGATAGTATATTATGTCAGTAATAACAAGCTTCCTCGAACCAGAAACTTTCAAAATAAAAAGTCAGCTAGTGTGGCGTCTGCTACTGATAAGATTTATCAGTAGTATGTAAAGAGACGTTCATAGGCATAGAAATACCAAATAGCGGAGAAAAAGGTTTGACATCAGAGAGAGAAGATGAACCAGCGTTGTGGGAAAACATGGGAAACACAAAAAGAAGACAAAGAAACACAATACAAAGGGCAGAAGTAGCACAACACGGAAAATCTGTGCAAATGACGATTTGGAGATAAGGTGTACATAATTTCGCTACATAGAGATACCAAATCCCTTGGCTTCTACCGTTACAACAGGAGATCACAATACGATTATGTCGGATATTCTGCACTTATCTCAACTTATGATAGCCGAGTGATTAACTTCATTGTGTTGACATCATGTTAACATGTTTACAGTGAAGATTAGGGTATTTTAAGCCATTTCAAAACCTTTTTTGAGTAACTTCCTAAAATATGACTCATTGACTTTGTGAAGCAATCAGAATTCCTTAGACCATGATTGAAATGATATTCAAACATGAATTATAATTAACTGTTTTCAGAACTGTACAAACTAGTGTACAATTGTTACATTTTTTTCAAAATAAATTTAATGCACTTGAAAATGTCAGTCTCATGTTTAAATAAGACTTGTTAACCAAACAGTGGTAACGTTCACATTTAACTGCTGTAGAATTTTCACAGAGGGTTTCTCAACATCACATCTCCACTTCAAGCTATTCTCTACAGTCCTTTTTACTTGGCTCCACTATTGCTCATAAGCTTCTCACACTATTTCCACCATGTCACATTCTCGGAGGGCCGACTGCACATCTCCCACTAGAGTTCGACCCAACGGGCGTGGTGTGTCATAATAATGATAATAGCTTTATTCCAAAACAGTACTTGCGATACAGAATGAAATTCTCAGCATTTTATCACAGTATCGCATCCAGTTAGTGCATTATCAATAAATAAAATTCTACATAGATTAAAGGTAATCCCAGTTAATTTTGACAACAACATATTAGCATGTCGGTAGTAAAGCCGAAAGTGAACAGAATGTTTGAAGGTGTTAGAAAAGTGGATACTAGCATATTTACTGACTAAGCGGTAACAAAAAGATCGAGATATACAGAGTGTGAAAGAACGAAGAAGAATGTCTTAAGTAGAATTGTAAGGAAGAGAGAAACAAAACAGCACAAAGAAATAAAAAGCAAAGAAAGAGAAAAAAGAGAGGAGGAAAAGAAAGAAAACGTTGTACCTATAAATGATATGAGTTGGAAAGACGAGATCCATTTGTTCTACTGATTATTTAATAAGTTATAGGTTAGGTTTCACACCTAATGCTTTCTTTATCGCACAGAACACGAGCTAAGTAGGGTATGGTTGAGCTTTTGTACTTTCTAGTGCGAGCATATAGTTTTCAATATAGGCTTCCGGTTTTGCCTGAAGAGATACAAGGGGAGAGTTGTGAATGAAGAGGGTTGTGTGAGTTAGGTAAAATGGATTTTGCCCATTTTTCACATGAGTCCATGTGCTTGTCAACCAGAATATTATGTCACTTGAATGCCTCCTAAATGTTTGTTCAATCCATTTTCACTTTCTTCTACATATTTGTTAAACAATGGGTTCTTGGTTGGTTGACTGATACAGTTCATGTTTGTATCAATGCGGTAAAAACAGCTGTAGAAGTCTAAAGCCTGTTCAAAATGCTTTTGGTGACACGCACACACACACCAATTTCGTGAATCGTACAGAAGTACTGACCTGACATTACTGTCGAAAGTTTGAATCTTTTGTCATATGCTGAGTGCAATAAATTTCTACAGTATCATGAATTTATCCATGTAACGCGTCAAACACTTTTTCATTATGAGGATGGTAACAATGACAGCTGGACTTGAAAAAGAAACTTAAGTTTTGGTAGAATCCGAATTGTAACAGCTACCTCCCGAAAAACATGAGAGACTTATCACTGTTAATTCGATCAACTACTATAAGTAAAAAGCTTATTTAATTGTGTATACCTTATACTTTTTTCACTAGATCATCTCAAAATGCCTTAAATTCAAAAACAGCGCTATTTTCCCCTTCTTTTAAAACAAAATATAACGTCCCATAAAAACAAGTTATTTTTTCATCGTTTATGTTATTAAATAGACTTCATAAGAAGAAAACTTGATGAACACGAACTGGACACATTACTATTATTATTATGATGATGATGATAAGTATATTAAAAAAGACGTAAGTGTAAAGATGAATACAGATTAAAACAAAAGGTTCAATGTTCCAATAAAGTATAATATGACCTAAAAAAACAGGTAGGTAGTAGAAATTATTATCATTATTATGAAGAAGAAAATAATAATTAAAGACCACTCTGTCTCAGTTTACTTTTAACAATGAATTTACAATCAATTATCACATTAAGTAATTAACAAAATTTTAAACTAAGAAGGACAGGGGTAAAGTAATGGTTATCATTATTATTATTATCCTTTTTACTGTTTGTTGTGCTTAAATTTCATTATTGATCTTTATTTAATAAATTAAAATTATCAAGGTCAGATTATCATCGATAATTTTTTGAAGTGAATTAACTAACTACCCTGTTGACAATGTATTTTATGTATAATTATAATTTACAGTATAAAATGGAAAAGAGAAAACTTGAAAATAGAGGCCATAAACTGACTTTTTGAAGGTTGAACAAGTATAGTAATTTTATTATTATTTATTTAATTCATTCATTTAAAAGCAAGGGATAATTATGAATTCTTAATATTGGATAAACAGGTGAATATTTAAAGCCAATGTACTAAATATGATGTGAGGGAAAACAAACTGTAGGCATAATAGAAGAGATTTATGCAAATTAAAGGGTTTTGCATGGTAAACATCATTTACACACACTATACCCCTAAATAACAATAAAAATATTAAAAAGCTAAAATAAAAGACTAAAAAAAATTCTGTATTCACAAAAACGCAGGACAGGAAGTGTACTTAGAGAGTTGTATGTCCAATCTTTACTCAGGTAATCACAATTTTACTAAATAGATTTCCCAGTATTAGTTTGTAAGGATTCGACTGGCTTCAGGTTTTGATTACGGAGTGATATCACTTAGTAGAAACCCAGGGAGTACTGGCTAAATGTCCCGTTCTAGCTTTGAGACTCTTCACAAGTATGCACCTATCACCCACTAGGGGGTCGAATCTAGGACCTTTAAGTTATGAGGCGAGCTTGTAGACCACTTAGCCACTGGAATGGAATCCAATGACCTATAAATTCCAACTTCTATCACCCCATGATTCTTCTCAGCACCAGGCCCGTCATCAGTGAATATATTTATCCTTACACCCAATCAGGTGGAACCCACTGGTCACGACATCTCACTAGAACTCCAGTCAATTTCGTCTTATAGTGAGTCACTAGTGAACATCAGATTAATTTGCAAGAGTGTTAGCTAGATTTGGTAAACTATTATTTATTATTATTTTTTCCTTCAGGTTCCCCAGTGAAACATAGGGCTTAAAGCTAGTGGCTTGAAGTTTCTGCAGCAGTGTTTATTTTACAGGATGGGGTTGCTAGCCTCATGACCAACCTTTCCTCTTTACCAGGATTATTTCTGACTTAGCGAGGTAAAGGAGTGAGTCGGTGGCCGGGGATCGGACCCCGGACTATGTGTATGGTTGGCGAGCGTCCCAACCGCTATGCCACCAAGTGTGTATAGCAATCTACATGTATTTGTGAGCAAACATACATAGCCGTGACCTACCAACCTCTGAAGGATAGGCCTACACAGCACATTCCTAGAAGCAGATACCCAAAGTCACCTATCTCAAAGCATATCATAAAGTTGATTTTAACACTTCTTTTAAACTCATATGTAAAATCATCTTTGAGTTAAATACTCAATTCCTAGATATTAAAGGGCTTAGAGATGTCTCATGTGCTCAGCTAACCACTGCCATCCACTCTCTATCATAATCACACTATGCATAGTGAAAACGGGGAAGTTTATTTATACACATGTATGTACAGAAAACAATGTAATCTAGTGTAACTTAAAGAATGGAGAGTAGTCATAAGTTCATTAAACAATAATTGTTTTCAAGTATTGGTTTGTTGGGATTTGGTTGATTGGTTACAGGATTTCATCATGAGCTGACATTGGTTAGAGAACCACTGGAAAATTTGGGAGCACTGGACAGCTCCCAGGGTAGGGTGCAGCAGGTCGGGTGTGAGGACAAAGACATTGGCATATTCGCCGAAGATATTGGCTAGCGGTTGCGCTATATCGTGAATTGGCAGAAGTTAGAATTCATGGACTGGCCATTGGATTGGGTCCGGTGGCTTAATGGTCTACGAACTCCCTGGTCTTGTAACCAGAAGGTCCTGGGTTCGAACCCTGTCGGTGGGTGAGTACTGCTGAAGAGTCCCAAACTAGGACGGAACAGCTGGCTATCCAGTACTCCGAGGTTTTCCAATGGTTCTCATGATGAAATCTTGTAATAATTGTTTTCATTAACTTGTAAAAATGACACATACCTAATCGAGGTCTAGTCTTAAAGTTAATCCAAGGAAATCAAGGACATCATATGTGTCTCTATCTTTAATTGATTAAAAACCCCGTAGTCCAAATGAGAGATATTATAACGATGACTGGTAATGTCGCCTTGAATAAATATTATAGCAATTATGGCTTATTTCATTGCATCACTCTGTACATAAACCGTGATACATACATTCACTGATTATAATGATGAAAGGGTTTAGTACTATTAT